GTAGTTCTATAGTGTAGAAGAAGGTAGGTAAGCCAAGGAAAAATAAGGTGGATGGGGAACAAGGAAGTACTCCAATAAGAAGGAAGGTTAGCATGCCAAGAAAGATGGTGGATGGGGAAAAATAACTTCTTCTGTATGTTATTTTTGAGTGTTTATATATATATATATCTACATGTGTTGAAAATATTATAGTTACCATTAATTTTTTAATACAAAAATATTTTATCTAGATTACTTTTACTCTTTTTTGTTGTGCAGAGGAAACCCAAGAAGAAGATGGAGAAAGAAAAGACTTTATCAGTGAATGGAGTGTATATATTATTATATATACATATATATAAGTCGCTTAGTTAGAAATGTATATACTAGTTCCTCAGTGCATAAGAATTGATATTTTTATTCCTTAATAAATTATTAGATTTAACTTAGTTTTGTGTCATTGTGTAGATGATGAAGTCTTCGAAGACAAGATTCATGGATTTTGAAATGAATGGCATGCAAATGAGAATGCTTTTGCTCAAGTAACTCATTTAACCTAATTATATAATGTTATTAGTATGTGCATATAAAAGAAAGTTAGACTAACCTAACTTTTTGGTACTAGTAAATGATGGAGGAGACAACAAGGAAGAAAAAGGAAAGAAAAAGAGGGTGGAAGAAGAGGTTGATCCCATTGTAATTAAATTAATTCTTATACACTGTACATTTATAAATTTTATAGTTGAAATAAACTTTGTTTCTCCTTTCTATAGTTGATGGTGCATTTCCAGTAGAAATTGATACTTGAGTTGAAGGATAAGTTACTTGGTGGGTACAGATTGATAACTATTTAGTTATAATATGATTAAGATACAAGTAATATAATTTTTGTTCAGGAAGAAAAAGAAAATGTTGTTCTTGATGAGGCAGAAGGAAATATGAACAAACATAACTTGAAGTATAAGGCAAGAGGTGAATCGAAAGAGTACTATCATAAAATGAAGGAGAAAATGTTAGAGCCTAATAAGAGTTCTATAGAAGAGCTGTTCATGATGATGTCACAACAATAAAAAGAAGGTGTTGTGATCAATGAGAAAAGCAACAAGAGAAATAATAACGAGGAGTAGCAAAACATATACATTAGTGATCTTTGTGGAAAAACAAAGAAGGATCTCCGATCCTTCTATCAATCTAAACCTAGAACCATCTGTAATTCTCCCTTAACTCAATAAATGGGTAAAAATATATATCGTAATCTAAACTTAAAACCGCTAACGCTCATACTTTTGCAATCATGTGTTGTGTATATATTGCTTTTGCTCTTACCTTTAAATATAGTGGATGTTTAATATTTGGTAACAGGTATGGAAAGTAGCATGATGGATACTGAAGAAATTTATCATAC